GCTTCGCGGCCTCGGCCTCGCGCGCGAGGGCCGCGAGGCGCTCGCGCTCCGCGGCCTCCTGCTGCTCGCGCTCGCGCTGGGCCTTGGCCTCGGCCGCGACGCGGTCCGACGTCTCGCGGCGCTTCGCCTTGACGCGCGCCGCGGCCCGGCGGCGCCGCGCCGCGCACTGGATCGTCGTCGCCGCGGCGGTCCGCGCGGCCTCGCGGACGGCCTTGTCGAGGCGCGCCTGGTCGACCTTGACGACGGCCGCGCGGCGGCGCTGGCGCGTCTGCAGCGTCGTCGCGGCGTCGTGCTGCGCCGCGTTCTTGACGCGCTCGCGCTTCTCGGCGACGGCCTTGGCGCCCTCGCGGCGGCGGAGCTGGGCCTGGACCTTGACGGCCGCGTCGGCCGTGGCGATCTCCTCCTTCTTCTTCGCGACCTCCTTCTTCGCCGCGTGGCCGCGCTGGCGGGACTGGAGCAGCGTCGCCGCGCCGCCCTCGACCCTGTCGGTCTTGATCTTCGTCACGCGGCGCCGCGCCGTGCGGCCGCGCTGGGCGCGCTGCATGAGCGACGCGCTGTAGGTCTCGCGGCGCTCCGTCTTGAGCTTCGCGGCCTTGATGCGCTCGCGGCGGCCGCGCTCGCGCTTCTGCAGGGACTTGGCCGCGTCGCGGCGCTCGCGCTTCTCCGCGGCCTTGGCCTTGGCGTCGCGCGAGCGCTGGAGGCCCTGGAGCTTGCGCGCGACGTCCTCGCGGTCGCGCTCGCCGCGCTTCGCCTCGACGTCGCGCGCGGCGTTGCGGCACCGGAGCCGGCGCTGGATCGCGGACGCGCCGTCGCTCTGCCGCTTCGCCTCGCGCTTCCGGCGGCGCGCGTCGGCCTCGGACCGCGCGCCCCGGCAGGACCGGCGGTTCTTCCACGCGCCGCCGATGCGCTTGCTCGCGCCGTCGAGGAGCACGGCGCCGCGGCGCTCGCCGGCGCGCGCGCGCGCGCGCTTGCAGCGCCAGCCGCTCTGGATGCGGCCGCAGTTGACCTCGACGCGCCGGCCGTCGACGCGCTTCTTGGACAGGGACACGCGGCAGCGCCGCTGGAGCCGCAGCGCGGCCGCGCGCGCCTCCTCGAGGCGCTGGCGCTCGACGTCGTAGAGCCAGCGCGTGAGCGCCGCGCGCGTCTTCCGCCGCACGAAGTCCTCGCAGATCTCGAGGCAGCGCTGCGCGGTCACGAGGCGCGCGTAGCGCGCGACCTGGTGCGCGTTGCTCGCGAGCGCCGCGTGCTCGCGCCAGCGGCAGAGCACGCGGAAGAGCTGCTGGCGCCGGAGCCGCGCGAGCGTTACCGCGAGCTTCTCCGCGGCCCAGCGGCGGCAGAGCGCGGCCGTGCCGTCGCTCAGCGCGCGGCCCGCGGGGTCGAGGGGCCGCTCGGGCCGCGGGCAGTGCGTCGCCGCCCACTGCGCGTCGGCCTTGACCGCGGCCTCGAAGGCCGCGCAGTTGGACCGGCTCTCCTCCAGCTGGGCGCGCAGCGACGCGTGCGCGGGCGTCGGCGCGTCGAGCGGCGCGAGGCGGCCCGGCGGCGTCCGCCGCCGCGCCTGCTTGCGCAGGGCCGCGGACCGCGCCTTGCGCCGCAGCGACTTCTTGCTGAGCTTGCTCGACTGCGCCTGGATGGGCTGGAGCCGCGGGAGGCCGTCGGGCGGCCGCGACCCGAGCGACGCGCTCAGCTGGCTCGCCTCGTCGAGGGGCGCGCTCGCCGACCGGGGCCCGAGGCTCGTGAGGCTCTGCGCGAGGAGGCCGCCGATGCGCGGGTCCACGTCGCCGACGTCGACGGTCGGGCCGCCGAACTGCGTGTTCCGCAGCGACCGCGCGCCGAGCTTCCGCGCGGCGCCGTCGACGCGCGCCGCGCGGCCGAGCGACCGGCAGAAGGCCCCGGCGGAGACGTCGCTGGGCTTGCGCCGGCGCTGGTCCGCGGCCTCGGCGCGGAGCGACGGCGCGGGCGCCGGCGGCGGCGCCGCGTCGTCGTCGCCGGGGAAGACGGCGCCGTGGCGGCACGCGTCGAGCGTCCGCTTGAGCTCCTGGGCCGTCGTGCCGGCGCCGAGGAGCTGGCGCTTCGCGGCCTTGGTGGCGGCGCGCGCGGCGTCGGCGCGCGACACGCGGTCGCTGCGCTCCTCGAGGCGGCACTCGCGGAGCGTCCGGTGCAGGAACCGCTCGAGGCGGTCCGCGCCCGCGGACGCGTCGTCGTAGGCGGCCTCGAGGCGCCGCAGGTCGTTGGGGTTCGTCAGGGAGAGCGCCTCCATGAAGGCCGCGTCCCGCGCCGACGCCGCCGCGGCGCCCGCGGCCGGCTTCGGCGCCCTGCGCGCGGGCTCGTCGGCGTCGTCGAAGAAGCCGCCGCCGCCGAGCGCGCGCGACGCCTCGGACTCCACCTCCTCGGCGCGCCGCGCCGCCGCGGCCATCTGCATGGCGTGCTCCGCGCGCCGCTGGAGCACGCGCAGCCGCCCGTCGTCGCTGAGCATGCGCCGGATCTCCTCCTCGGCGCGCCGCGCGCGCGCGGGGTCGCTCACGGGGTGCTTCGCGGACGCGCCGAGCGGCTGGCCGGGCAGCAGGTGCTGCAGCGCGTTCACGTCCAGCAGGTGGCGCTGCGGCTGCGGCGACGGGCGCTCGAGCTTCGCGAAGGACGCCGCCGTGGCCGGCTCCAGGGCCGTCGCGTCCGGCGAGGCCAGGCGCTCCGAGGCGTCGTCGTACGCGTACGCGGGCTCCTCGAGCATCATCGCGCCCGGGCGAGGCGCCGCACGTGCCGCCGCCGAGGCGCCGCGCGTCCGCCGAGGCGCCGCGCGTCCGCCGCCGCCGGCGCGCGCACCGGCCCTCTCGGAGAGGCCCAGGTCCTCGTCGGCTCGCAAGCGCGCTACATGTAATCAATCTCAAGCATGATACGTTGAGTTTAATTCAGCGCTACGTGAACGCTCTCCCTGGAGGGGCCCGCCGCCATGGTCGCGTCCACGTCCATGATGTCGGCGACCCGCAACTGCGCCTCGGCGGACGCCTCCGAGTTCCTGCACCGCTGGCAGACGCCGAACGCGCGCAACCGGTCCTACGACCTGCGCAGCGCCGCGGACCCCATCGCGACGCACGACTACGCGCCGGACCGGCCGTCGACGGGCCTCCAGCGGCGCGTCGACCGGCGGCGGCTGCCGCCGAGCCGCTACGGCGACGACGACAAGCACGTGCCCCAGATCCTCCAGCAGGACTGGAAGGGCATCAACAGCTTCGCGCTCGACAAGCTCGTCGACTACCGCCAGTACCCGAAGCCGCGCGTGCCCTTCCGGCCGTCGACGGTCCAGACGCGCACGGACTTCATGATCTCCACGGCGACGAACTTCGGGGGGCACTACAAGCGGCCCCAGACGGGCCAGGCGACGCCCGCGGCCGTCGCGCGCGAGTACGACGCGCTCAAGCGGCGGCTCTACGAGCTCAACGCCCAGGCGCGGCGCGTCGCGGGCACGCACCCGTCGCGGAACACCGTGCGCTCCTTCTCCCGGGGGGACCTGGGGACCCTGCGCATCTCGAGCCGCGCGGCGAGCCCCGCGCGCGCGTCCCGCGGCCGGCTGTGATCGACTGTCGATAAGCAGGACGCTGTGGTGCTGGCCTTTTTGCGCGCGGGAGTCGTCTGCGCGACGAGCGTCCGGCGGAGGGGCTGCTCTCGTGCGAGCCGCACAGCCTTGGTGCGCTCTAGGTGCGCTCTTCATCTTTAGCTCGTAAACTTCAAGCTGGATGAATCAAACACCGCTGCGTCGAAGTCGACTAATGGCTGCCTTCGGCCCGTCGCCGGGCCCCATGCCGCAGGAGCCGACGCACGCGCCGCAGTTCACGGGCCCGAACCCCGGCCCGCTGCCGCTGACGGCGCCCCTGCCCGGGCCCGCGCGGTTCCCGGCGCTGCCCGAGACGCTCCACTGGGAGGAGGCCGAGTGGACCATGGGCGAGACGCGCGCCTTCGTCGCCGAGGCGGCGGAGGCGCACCACCTGCACACGGGCTGGACGGCGATCATCTGCGGCCACAACGTCGAGCGCGACTTCGACGACGACGCCGTGACCAAGGCGCTGAGCGGCCACCTCCACGCGCTCGGCTACGCGACCGTGCGCCTCGGCTTCGAGGACAACCTGTCGGCCGTCGGCGGGCCCGCGCGGGCGGAGCTGCTGGAGGCGCACGTCGCCAACCTGAGCGACGTCTACGAGGGCTACCGCCACGAGCTGCCGCGCAAGATCGGCGACCCGCACAAGACGGAGACGAAGATTCTGGTGGTCGCGTACTCGTACGGCTGCGCGGTCGCGCGGAAGTGGATCTCCGAGAACCAGCGCGATCTCGACGTCCACGGCGTCGCCTTCGTCTGCCCGCCGGTGGACGCGGAGAACGCCAAGGCGCCGGGCGTCGGGCTCATCGGGAAGACGTTCCTGCTCTCGCACGCGGGCGACTTCCCGTCGATCCTGGCGGTCGTCGGGGAGCGGGACGACCTCTGCGGGTTCGAGTCCTTCCACAAGCGCCGGGGCCGCGCGGCCGTGAACACGCAGATCCTGCCGGGCGCGGGCCACGCGCTCGACGGGCCGGGCGACGTCACGGAGCTGTCGCGGAGGATCCACGAGTACGCGTCCTGCGCGATCGTGGACAAGAACGACGACTACGAGGCCGGCATGGTCTACCTGCCCCTGGCGAAGGAGGCGGCCTACGTGCTGTGCCCGGAGGCGAACGTGGGCGCGGCGAAGGCGTGCGAGGTCGTCGACCTCGACTACGGTCTGGAGGGGCGCGTGGTCAGGGAGGAGACCGTGGTCTGCGTCTTGAAGTGCCGCGACCGCGTCACGGTGCGCGGCGTCGCCAAGGTTGGCAAGCGGAACACGTCCAAGTACCGCGAGCGGGTCCGCGTCGAGACGAAGGACGGCGCGCGCGGCTGGGTCTGCGCGGAGGCGCTCTCCGGCGACTGGGCCATGCGCGCCTACTACTGCGAGGAGTGGCCCGGCGCCGACTCCGACGGCGAGACGTGACCCCGCGCGCGCGTCTAAATCACACACGAACACCTGTTACTAGTCGGCTCACTGGAAGAGGTTGTAGCTGTGGATCGAGGCGAGGGCGGCGCCGAAGGCGACGAAGGGCGACGGCCCCGCGAACTCGAGGCAGTACGTGTCCTTGTCGACGCGCGCGAGCTGGAGGGCGATGCCGTCGCCGCCGTGCGGTACGAGCTGGAAGTTCTTCGCGGACGGCACGATCTTCAGGCCCTCGGGGAAGCCGTCGAGGACGTAGCCCTCGCCGTCCCAGCGCACGGGCTTGGAGACGAAGGTCGGCACGCGGTCGTAGGCGCGGGCCCGGAGCGCCGCGACGACGTCCTTCGCCGCCGCGGCCGCGTCCGGGATCGCGAGGCGGAGCTCCGGCGGCAGGGACGCGTGGACGGCGTTGGGCGAGAAGAGCAGGCCGCCAACGCAGAGGCCGTCGCCGCGCTTGAGCTTGTAGGCGGCGCCCTTGGCCGCGGCCTTGCCGACGTAGCGGCCGCGGCCGTCGGACACGGTCCAACGGCCGACGACCGAGTGCGTCGCCTTCAGGAGCTCGGACCCGTTGGCGGCGAGGAGCGTGTAGACGCCCTGCTTCCGGGCGATCTGGCATCGCGTGGGCGCGCCGGCGGCCGACGGCTCGAAGCACGCGGCGCGCGACGCCGCGGCGGCCGCGGACTCGGCGGACCTGGACGCGGCGCCGAGGAGCTCGCCGACGCGCTGCGCCGCGAGGCTCGGGCGTCGCGCCTTCTGCGCCGTGCGGGACGCCACCTCGAACGTGTCGAGCTGCGGCGCCGGGCGAGCGCGCGCGGGCGTGCCGGCGTCGTCGTCGCCGTCCCAGTCGGCCTTGAGGGCCAGCGGGTTCACGCTCGGGCTGCTGAAGGCCTGCTTCTTGCTTTTCGACGTCGCGCGGCGCCCGTTCACGGGCGACAGCGGCGACCGCGGCGTCGAGCCGGCGCCGACGTGGGCTGCCATGTCGGCTTATTCTATCGCGGCGAGTTCTGGGGCTGCTGCGACGGCAGTCTTTAACGTCTTTTTTTCAACGTCGGTGCACCTTGAACACTCTCCACGCGTGATTCGTGAGCTTGACGCCTGGCCGTCCGCTGCTTCGTCGTCGCGAAAGAAGCCTTGTGCTGGACCGGCGCGAAGCACCGCTCCCTGTGCGACCACCACCACGCGAAGACGCTCCCCGCGAGCATGCGGACCGGCGCGGCCGTCCTCGCGCCGGCGCAGCCCGTGGCGAAGAAGTCGCTCGGCAAGATCTGGCGGAAGATGGGCAAGATGCCGCGCTACGGCCCGCACGCGTCGGCGTCGCGGCGGTCCGAGGGCGTCGTGGAGCGGCGCGGCAAGTCCATGGAGATGCTCGCGGGGAAGAAGAAGCGGCAGCGCGCGTCGGCGAAGGAGACGCCGGCGGCGTCGCGGCCGAATCCGCTGTCGCTGCTCTCCGGCGAGGTCGTCACGCTCGTCGCGTCCTACCTGCCCATCGTCACGCGGCACCCCAAGGGGGTCTGCTACGTGACGGCGGCCCTGCTGACGCGGCTGGGCCGGCCCGACGTGCCCGCGGGGTCGCCCGGCGGGTCGACGTCGCCGGCCGCGCGCGACGCGTCGATCCTGCGCTGCGCCGACGAGCGGCTGCGCGGCTTCTACGCGGCGTCGGCCGCGCCGCGCCTCATCGACCCAACAAAGAAGCACTGGGAGGCGCTCGCCCGCACCGCGAGCGCGCTCGCGACGAAGTTCCGCGACTACCAGCACCGGCGCCAGGTCGTCCCCCGGCACCGGTCGCGGACGCTCGCGGAGCTCGTGGCGGCCGTCGCCGCGCTCGAGCCCCGGGACCTGCGCGTGCCCTCGGCGGAGTTCGGCACGGTGCAGGAGGCCGTCGACGCCGCGCGGCGCGGCGACCGCATCTTCGTCGAGCCCGGGAGGTATTCGGACGTGCTGAAGATCGTCGACCGGTCCGTGGCCATCTACGGCGGCGCGCGGCCGCCGAGCAAGGGCTTCGAGCGGCCCGGGCGCACGATCTTCGAGGCCGTGGACGTGACGGGCCGCACCGCGGAGTGTTTGTTGGTGGGGGTGCACTTCCAGTGCTGCGACGTCGGCACGGACGTGTCCGCGTGCTCCGTGTCCGGCGGCGGGTCGCTCGTCGTGGTCGACGCGGCCATCTCGTCGCGGGCGCTGCTCAGCGGCGTCACGGCCCGCGAGGGCGCGTCCCTGCGCCTCGTCCGCTGCGACGTCTCCGGCTGCCGCGAGAGCGCCGTCTTCGTCCACGGCGAATCGACGGCCGCGACGCTGGAGCACTGCGTCCTCAACTCCAACGGCGCGTCGGGCCTCAGCGCCCACAGCGGCGCGACGGCCAAAGCGAGCCGCTGCGACATGCTCGACAACAAGGAGAACGGCTGCCACGCGTCCAACGCGACGGTGGCCTTGGTCGACTGCGCGTGCCTCGACAACGCGTACAACGCGACCTTCGCGAACCACGGCGGCTCCGTCACCGTCGACGCCGCCTGCCGCCTCGGGCCCGACTACCTCACGGACTAAGAGCTTCTGCGTCGTCTTTTACGCGTCCCGCGGCGGGTCCTGCATCGGCGCGGGCGCCTTCGGCGGCGTCGCGGCCATCGCCGCGGGCGGCGCCGGCGACGGGTCCCTCCGCGCCGGCGGCGCGTCGTCGTCCGGCAGAACCGGCGCCGCGGCCTTCTTCGGCAGCGTCTCCGGCGCGCGCGCGGCGAAAAATCCCAGCGCGGCCGCGGAGCAGGCCGACGACGCGAAGATGGCCGCGGACGGGCTCAGCGCGTCGGCGAGCGCGCCGTAGGCCAGCGGCCCGCAGAGGAAGGCGCTGTCCTGGGCGACGCGCGAGTAGGACACGACGGCGCCGCGCGCCTTGGGCGGCGCGACGTCCGCGGAGATGGCCGCGAGCGCGGGCGTCATCAGCGACGCGCCCAAGCCCCAGGCGATCATGGCGGCGTAGAACTGGGCGCCGTCCGCGGCCAAGGGCACGGCCGCCGCGCCGAGCACCGTGAGCGACGCCGCGGGCACCACGGCCGTCCGCCGCCCAAAGTCCGCGAGGTAGCCCCCGAGCGGCGCGCCGACGATCGCGACGGCCGACACCGTCGAGAAGAGCACGCCGATGTCGCCGGGCGACGCGGCCATGACGTCCACGGCGCGCAGGGGCACGACGGAGAGGTGGCAGGCGTAGCCGAGGTACTGCGCGAGCTGCATGGCCAGCAGCGGCGGCAGCGGGCCCCGCCACGCGGCCGCGAGCCGCGCTCGCGTGTCCGCGTCCGCGGCGGCGTCCGCGTCGGACGCGGCGATGCCGGTCCCCTGGTGCGTCTCCGGCAGGAGCGCGTAGCCGGCGACGCAGAGCAGGTTGCAGACGCCGACGGCGTGGAAGAGCGCGTGCGGGCCCAGGACCTCGGCGAGGCCGCCGCCGAGCGCGGGCCCGCCGATGAAGCCGAGCGCGACGGCGGCCTGCTGGACGCCCAGCAGCTTGCCGCGGTCGCCCCGGCCCTCCGTGACGTCGGCCATGTAGGCCTGGGCGCCCGCGAGCGTCGCCGCGGAGCCCGCGCCCGCGAGGAGCCGCGCGGGCACGAGCTCGAGCAGCGACCCCGCGGAGCCCGTCGCGAAGGTGCCCGCGGCGCCCAGGGCGCTGCCGGCGATCATCAACGGCCGCCGCCCGATCTCGTCGGCGAGCGCGCCGAGGCGCACGTTGAGCACCACGCGCGCCGCCGCGGGCGCCGACAGGATGACGCCGACGCCGACGGCGCCGAGCGACAGCGACTCGGAGAGCGACGGCAGCACGGGGATGATGCACCCGAAGCCCGCGTTCGCGACGAAGGAGCTGCCGGAGAGGATCGCGATCTGCCGCCACGGCGGCGGCGCGCCGCTGGTGCCGTCGTCCTTCGAGCTCGACGGCGTCGCGAGGCCGCGCGGGAGCGATCTGACGGGGTGGCGTCTCGCGTTGATGCGGACGTGTCTTGCGGCGCGGCGCAGCATGATAGGTGTGTAGGTGCTCGAGCGGCGCGGGCGCTCTTCTTACGCGCGCGTAAGTGGCGCCAGTGTCATGCTGCTCGGAGATGCTGCTCGGAGCTGGGGAAGACGAAGAGTCGATGATGCCGGCACCGCCTGACACGACGATGGAGATGCTAAACATGGTGAGGCAGCCTCCGTAGCAGTGCTCATGGCGCACGTGCGCGTCGTCCTCCTCCCGTGGCTCTGGGCGCTCGCCGGCGGCGCCGCGCCGCAGCACGCGCAACCACCGCAGCACGCGCAACCACCGCAGCACGCGCAACCACCGCAGCGCGAAACCACGATCGTCCACCTCGTCATGCCGCTCTTCGGCGGCGACGAGGTCTGGGACTCGCCGATCCTGCCGCTCTTCGTCGCGAGCGCCGGCGCGGCGCGCGGCATCGCGCTGACGCTCGTCGGCGACGCGGCGCCGCCCTACGCGCCGCCGGCGACGGTGCGGCACGTCCCGGCGTCGTGGCCGAGCTTCGCCGCGCGGCTCGAGGCCGTCGCCGGGCGCCGCTTCGCGGACCTGCCGCGGTCGCTCGACGCCGCGGGCATCGGCAACCTGACGGGCTGGTCCGCGGCGCACCTCAACGCCATCTCGGGCTACAAGCCCTTCGTGCGGCTGCTCTACCCCGAGGTCTTCGAGGGCGTCGCGGCGCGCTGGGTCGGCTGGACCGACTGCGACGTCCTGGTCGGGACGGCCCTCGCCGACCTCGCGGCGGCCGCCGACGCCGCCGGCGCCCAGCTCGTCGCGCCCGCGGACGAGGGGCCCGGGAGCCGCCCGCGGAAGCTCTCCTGGGGCCCGCTCACGCTCCTCCGCGCGGACGCCTACGACGCCGCCGTCGCGCCGGCGCTCCGCGACTACCTGGGCCGCGCCTCGACGCCCGCCCCGCGCGAGACCTTCGACGAGTGGGGCAAGAAGCGCTGGGGCGGCGCGGGCCTGGAGCACTCCTTCTCGGGCATCCTCGCGCCGCTCGTCGAGCGCGGCGCCGTCGCGACCTTCCGGCCGCCCCTCGACCCCAACGCGCCGCCGCTCTTCGACGCCTGCTGCCAGAAGGCGCTCCAGCACCTGCCGCAGTGCAAGGACCTCCGCGACCTCGTCCGCTCGGAGACCTGCGGCTACTGCCGCTTCGACGGCGGCCGCCTCTTCGGACCCGCGGGCGACGAGTACTTCCTCTGCCACTTCCAGTTCGCGAAGCGCCGGTGGAAAAACGCGACCGTCGCCGACGCGCTCCGCATGGCGAGCGGCGCGTTCGTCACGCCCAGGCACGGGGTCTGGTTCCGAAGCGTCGACGCGCCGACGGACGCGGCGGCTTCGGAGGCGGCGGCTTCGGTCTCCAAAGCGCCGTCGTCGAAGGAGACGGCGTCGGTCTCCAAAGCGCCGTCGTCGGAGGCGGCGGCGTCGGTCTCCAAAGCGCCGTCGTCGAAGGAGACGGTCGTCTTGTGGCACGCCGGGCCCCGCGTGACGGCGTGGCATCGCTCCGTGCTCGAGAGGTACGGCGCTTTCGAGCTCTCGGTGCTCCGCGACGTCACGGGCCTGCGCCCCGGAGGCGTGCGTCTCTTACGAAACGAGCCGCTGCGCGACTACGAGACGAACGAGACGGCCGGCCGCGCCGTCGACGTCTGCGAGGTGACCTGGGACGCGATCACCGAGGCGGAGTTCGGGGCCGAGGCCGCGCGCGCGCTCGGCCGCGAGGTCGCGAACCCGCGCAAGCCCGGGGAGACGTTCCGCGTGGTTCCCCACCACTACCACGGCCTGTACCAGCTGCTCTGGTGGCGCCACTGCTCCGGGCGACCGGAGCGGGCGTGGTTCGTCGAGAACGACGCCGCGTTCCTCGGCGACGCGGCCCGGTTCTTCGCCGCCGCGGACGCGTCCGCGGACCTCGTCGCCGGCGGCTTCCGCATCGCCGGCGAGCACTGGTGGCAGTGGCCCCTGGCCGTGGCGACCATCGGCGGCGCGGACCCCGTCGTCGCGCGGCGGAACGCGACGAGCCCCGTCGCGAACGTCGACGCGCTGCGCGGCCTCTCGACGGGCGGCTGCACGGACCACCAGCGCATCCCCGACGACGAGGCCGGCCTCCTCTTCCGCCAGGACCACGTCGAGCGGCTCTCGGCGGCGCTCCTGGACGCGCTGGACGCCGCGTTCGCGGAGCGGGGCTTCGCGCTGCCGAGCGAGGCCTGGGCGCCGAGCCTCTGCGCGTCGCTCGAGACCTGCACCATCTACGACTTCGCGCCGCTGAGCGCCGACGCGCGGCGCGGCCGGGGCGACTGGGTGACCTCGTCCTACTGCTGGTGGGCGCCGCCGGGCTTCTTCTTCTCGCGGCGGCCCCACTGCAGGCGCGGCGCGGTCGCGCCCGACTTCGCGGACCGCTGGGTCCACCCCGTCAAGACGACCTGCGCGTCGGCCCTGAGCTGCGAGCCGGCGGACCGGAGCGACGAGGGTGCGGCCTGCTTGTTCCCCCAAAACTTCAAGCCCAGCGACGGGGAGTGGGCGCGGAGCGGCTACGACGACGCGACGCGGCGGAGGTTCGAGGGCGCGTTTCCGAAGAAGACGAAGACGAGCCGCGGAGCGCCGTCGCTCGTCCACACAAGAAATTAATTATCCGAATAGCGGATTCGATGCGAATTGGGGGCGTCTCTAGAAGCCCTTGAGAGGGCCGCCGCGGCCCCGTCGCCGCTTCGGCGGCCGCTTCTCGAGCTTCGCGAGGACGCCGTCCCGGCTCCGCGCGGCCTTGTCCGCGCGCTCGCGGGCCCGCGCCAGCCGCGCGTTCTCGAAGGCCAGGCGCGTCCGCGCCGCCCGCGCCTCGCGCTCCGTCGAGTTCATCGCCAGGTCCAGGCGCCCGTCGACGACGCACGGCGACGGCGCGAGCAGCAGCCGGTCGACGGCGTCGTCGAGCCGGTCGCAGAACAGCTTCAGGACCGTCAGCGACGCCGTCGCGAGATCGAAGTCGCCGGCGGTCCAGATGGCCTTCGTGCGCAGCCGGTTGCGGAACTTGGCGTCCGCGACGAGGTGCCCGACCGCGTCGACGGCCTCGGCCGGCTCCGTCGTGTTCGTCAGCTTCGCGTTCGCGTCGTGCACGGCGTACTCCTCGGAGCCCGAGCCGCCCGGGAGCACGGGCACGCAGCCCGCGGCCATGGCCTCGAGGCCCGTGCGCCCCCAGGCCTGCCAGTGGCTCATGTCGAGGAACACGTCCGACGCGCCGAAGAGCGCGGCGACGTCCTCGCGGCGCAGCGTGCCGTGGTGCGTCAGGAAGCTCCGGTCCGACGCCGAGAGGAAGGCGTCGAGCTCGTCGTCGGGGCAGCCGAAGGTGTGGACGTCGACGCGGTCGCCGAAGCGCGCGCGGACGCGCCGGAGCACGTCGAGCGTGCCCGTCGGGTTCCGCCGCGGCGTCGACGGCCGCAGCATGGCGACGACGCGCGCGACGCCGCTGCGCTGGTCGGCCTCCGAGCGCACGCGCTCGTCGTGGGCCGCGCGCGCCGCGTCGAAGGCGCCCAGGTCCACGGAGCCCGTGACCGCGTGCACCGTGACGTTGTGGTTCCGCGCGACGCGCTCGCGGAGCCACCGCGTCTTCGCGAAGAGGACCATGCCCTCGACGCGCGTGTAGCTCTCCAGCGCCTTCTCCTTGAGCACGAGGTCCAGGTTGTCGAAGTCCGCCTCGTAGTCCTGGATGAAGTAGCCCGTCTGCACGTTCGGGTGGCACGCCGCGACGTCCGCGATGGCCTCGACCGTCGTGAAGAGCGTCGCGACCAGAAAGTCGAAGGCCGCCGCGTGGTCCCGCAGGGCGTCGGCGAGGTCCCGCGGCGTGCGCACGTTGTCCTTGTAGGGCAGGAAGACGTCGTCGCTGTCGCGGAAGTTGGAACGGAACGTGCCGAGCGTCCACGCGGAGATGGCGACGCGCGCGCAGACGCCCCGCTTGCGGAGCCCGATGGCCTGGTTCACGATGGAGATCCAGCCGCCGTGCATGGCCGGCGGCTGGGGCGCGCGGCGGATCGGGTTCAGCACGAAGAGCACGCGCAGCGCCGCGGGCCGGCAGCCCTCCGTCGCGTTCCGCGCCCCGAGGTTCGCGGCGACGCGCCGCCGCGCCTCGTCGAGCGCCGGCTCGCGCTCGAGGGCCTGCACCGCGTCCCGCAGCTGCGGGCCCCAGCGCTGGAGGAGCGTCGCGCGGCTCTCGCTCGACAGGTCCTTCCGCGTCGCGTCGCCGTAGCTCTTCGACTTGTGGTGCCAGACGTAGACGCCGTCGGCGACCTTGAGCCGGTAGCCGAGCCGCGCCGCGCGCAGCGCGAAGTCGTTCTCCTCGCCGAAGCCGTGGGGGAACCTAAAAAAAAGGTGCGCTTTTGGGTGGAAGAGGTTCGGCGGACGCGGGAGCGGCGACGCGACGTCGTCGAAGAGGCCCACGACGCCGAAGACCTCGGCCTTGACGAGCAGGCAGAAGCCGTTGAGCACGGGCACGTCGACGAGCCCCAGCTTCGACGCGCGCGCGACGGCCTGGGCGACGTCGCGCGGCCGCCAGTCCGGCGGGAGCGGGTTCTTCGACCAGTCGACCTTGCCCGTGTCCGGGTTCGTGTGTCGCAGCTGGGGCACGGACTGGTAGCTCGCCGCGTTCGACACGGGGCCGACGACGCCGATGTCCGGCGTCGAGAAGGCCGCCGACAGGAGCGCCGCGAGCCACGTCGGCGTGAGGATCTCCGTGTCCGAGTTCAGGAGGCAGAACGCGCCGTAGGGCGTCGCCGGCGGCGGGATCGCGGGGTCGTCGCCCAGGGCCGCCCGCAGACCTACGTTGTTCGAGTTCGCCGCTGCTCACGCGCTCGAGACGCCGCCCGGCGGACCCGCGTTGACCGCGCGCGTGTAGCCGTGGAGGTCGCTCTCGCCGCGCCAGTTCACGAAGCGCACGAGGTCGCGCTTGCCGCGCGCGTCGACGAGCCGCTCCAGGCCTCGAAGGGTCGCCGACGCCGAGCCGTCGTTGACGAGGTAGAGGCCGTAGGCCGCGTCCTCCGTGCGGTCGAACATCGCCGCGAGGCACCGCTCGACCCACTCGAGCGCGTCGTGCACGGTGACGACGACGGCGACGGCGGGGTTCTCGGGCGCGACGCGGAGTTTCCGGGTCTTCGGGCAGCTCGACCCCGCGGGCGCGAGGCTGTGGCGGTGCTTGACGTACGTGTCGACGCCGCTCATGTTCCGCAGGTTCGTCTCGCGGCACGTCTTGAAGTAGCAGACGCCGCCGTGCTTCAGGTACGAGAAGGCCTTGCACCGCTCGAGCCGGTGGCAGCGCGTCTTGCACTCGTCGACGGACTGGACCTCGAGGTGGTTGTTGTGGTAGTCGCAGCCGAAGACGGACACGTTCAGGAACGTCGGCCAGCTCCGCTCGACCGCGCGCTTCTCCCGCGACGCGAGCTGCTCCGTGGTGACGATGCGGGGCGCGACGGGCGCGACGACCTTGGCGAGCGGCCGGGGTCGCGCGCAGCGGCCGCGCACGGGCGTCGGCGTCACGTGCGCGGCGAGCATCCGCAGGAGCAGCGAGTCGAGCGGGTGGGACTGCGCTTCTTCCGGCGGAGCGCCGTCGAAGAGCACGTCGAGCTCCGTGGGGGCGTTCTCGACGCTGTCGAAGATGGTCGTCAACCGCGGTTGGAAGCGCTCGAGGCGGTCGAGGTGTAATCCGAAGAGGCACGTCGAGATCGCGACGCGTTTGCCGGAACTCGATTTGAATTCCTCGGCGGGGTGATCCTCGTTCAAAAAGGCCAGCGTCGCGTGCTCGTCGTCGAAGGCGTGGTTGAGCGCTGCGATGCCGTCCGGGGTCGGCGGATCGTCCGCGAAGACCGCGCGCGCGTAGTGGTTTCGCGCCGCGAATTGCACGGCGTTCCACGCGTCCGCGCGCGTCGACTCGGGGGTTGCGACGACGAAGGGCGTGTCCTTGAGGAAGAAGTTTGTGGCTTCGCTGTCCAAGGCGACGACGACGACGTCGCCGCGGCGTTTTCGTTTCGTCTGCTCGTACCACGCGGCCGCGGCTTTCGCCGCGGCAGCGTCTGTGACGACGATGGCCGTGAGCTGGATGGTGGTCGGTTTGAGTAGGTGGCAGCCGCACAGGAATGTTGGGGATGTTGCCCACCAGTCTGCGTCGTTGTTGGTGGGGCAGCACTTTGAGGCGGCGAGTTCGGGCGGCGAGTTCGAGACAGTGTGCGGAATTGAGGCTTCAGTTGTGTCAACAATTGGTGCTTCGTCGACGACTGGTGCGTTGTCGACGATGACGGGCGCGAGGCTTCCTCCGGGGCTGTCGTTACGTACGTGCGCCCACGCAAAAATTCCAGCGATGCCGCACGCGACGACAGCGAGCGCGCATCGCCACCGGCCGCCGCCCGGCGCCGGGTTCCGCCCGTAGGCGAAGACGACGCGGCCGTCGTCGCGCCCGCGCGGGGACGGCCCCATCTACGGTTCGGTAGCGGCGACGAGGGCTGCAAAACTCATCATCGCAACCATGTGCAATTATTGACGTGCAAGTTTGAGGGAAACATTGTGCTGCTTGGCAGCCCTCCATCTCGCGCGCCCACCCGAACACGAGCTCGAGCGAGGACGGCGGCGCGATGCTGGCGCCGAGCACGTCAACGGAGCTAACACCAACAACCATCGAGCATGCGCTCACCACGTCGACCGAGGCCATCGTGCGGCCCCTGGACATCGCAAAGCTCGCGCAGCTCGTCGGCGCCTCCGAGGCCGAGGTGATCGTCGCGCTCTGTAGCAACACGCAGGAAACCGGCCGGCCGCGCGCGTCGTCGTCCGTGGTGTCCGACGCGGAGCAGCCGGAGCAGCAGCGCTCCTCGCGGCCGAAGACGGCGCGCGTCGCGCTGGTGACGGCCGCTCGCCGCAAGCCGACGCGGCGCGCGTCGGGCGCGGGCATCCCGGACGCCGTGCCCAAGGAGCTGCTGCAGGTCGGCGGGGCCGCGCTCATCTGCCACAGCCTCGAGGCGCTGCGGCGCGCCGGCTTCCGGCGGTGCGTCGTGCTCGTCGCGTACCGGGGCAGCGAGATCGCGGAGCACGTCGGCCGCCACTTTGGGAACAAGCTCGGCGACGACTTTGGCATCGAGTTCCTGGACCTCGGCGACGACTGGGACGGCTTCCACGGCAAGTCGATCCTGGCCGCGCGGGACACGGTCGCGCGGTGCACCGACGGGCTCGAGACGCCGCTGCTCCTCGTGACGTCGGACCACCTCTTCGACGCGTCGCTCCTGCGGTCCGTCGCGCGGAGCACGGACCGGAACCGCATCGGCGACGACAACGCGCTCCTCGTGGAGGACCTCGGCGGCAACGCCGAGGAGCTCCTGCGCGCGCTGCCGCCCACGGCCGTCAAGGTCGCGAAAGAGGACGGCTCGTACTGCGCGCGCGTCGGCCGCGAGCTCCCCGCGGGCGTCAAGCAGGACGGCGTCGACGCGGGCCTGGCGCGGATCGAAGGCCCGCGGTTGTGGGACGCGCTCGAGGACCTCGACGCGTCGAGCGACTACTACACGCTCGCCGACGCCCTGGACCGCGTCGCGCTGTCGGACGGCGGCCTGAGGGCCGTGGACACGCGGAACAAGCCCTGGGTCGCCGTCGAGACGGACGAGCAGGTCGAGTTCACCAAGGTCTCGGTGCTCAGCCCGCAATTCGCCGGCGTCGCGCCCCTCGAGGTGCACATCGTGCGCCAGTCCTCGAGCCAGGACTTCCTGAGCAACTTGCCCTTTGAGATCCGCCACGTCTCGGACAACAGCGCCAACAGTTCGCCGCCGGCGACGCCCTTCGAGTACTCGTCGAGCGAGGCCGGCTCGGAGAAGGTGCGCTTCGCGCCCGAGGCCTTTGGTCCGCCCGTGGACTACCTCGCCGTCGGCTCCTCGGGCGCGCTCGACCGGCCCGTGACGCTGAGCTCGTCCATGGTCGAGGACCTCCCGAGCCGCGGCGCCGTCGTCGTCGCGCTGCCCGGCGACGCGTTCGACGTCGTGGCCCTCGTGCCCGTGGGACAGCGCGACGCGTCCGTCAAGGTTTTGGCGGCGTCGGCGACGGCCGTCGGCTTCGCGGGCCGCGTCGCCGGCTTCGCGGAGACGCCGACGCTCAAGGCCATCGAGCTCGGAGGGAACGCGAAGGACGGCATGGACGCCAAGGTCACAAAGAAGGTGCCCGTCATGGGCTACGGGCTTTTGGCCTTTGCGACGGCGGCCCAGGCGTCCGGCGCGCTCGTGCTCGGCGACGCGGAGCCCGGCAGCGACGTCTTCTTGCTGTGCGCCTGGCGCATGGGCGCGTCGTCCTTGGTCGCGCTGCCGCTCGCCATCACGGACTGGACGCTCGGTTTGGAAGCGCGAGTGATGAACGGGGACGCGCTCCGGGGCGCCGCGGGCGCGGTCAGCGGCTACTTCTTGAGCGTCGTGACCTACCAGCTCGCGTTCCTGCTGGCCTCGGACGCGTCGCTGGTCTCGCTGTCGTCCTCGCTGGCGCCCCTGGGCATCGTCGTCGTCCGGCTGCTCGGCTTGTTGAGTCCGAGGCCGACGCGGAGCGAGATCGCGGGCACGTGCATCGGCTTGCTCGGCGCCTGCGGCTGCGCGGCGTCGGCGCCCGGGAGTAGCGGCGGACGGCGTCTGAGCGCGACCGCGGCCCTGCCGTTGGCCCTGGGCCTGAGCTGCTCCGCGTGCCACGCGGCGTACGCGTGCTCGACCAAGGCCGCGCGGTCCGGCGGCATCTCGGCGCCGGCGCTCCACGCGGCCATGCAGGTCGGCTGCTGGCTCTTGAGCGTCTTGGTGTTTGTGTTTGTCGAAGGTGGAGAGTTCATCGAGACGCTGGCGTTCTTCGAGAGCCCGCTGACGTACCTTTGGTTGGCTCTGGTGGTGGACACGGCGGGCACGTTCTTCTACACGCTCGCGGCGTCGCTGGTGGACCCTTTGCTCGTGACGGTGGCCGCGTTGCTCCAGCCCCTCTGCGTCGTCATCTTCCAGTCGACGCTCTTCGGGTCGCCGCCGCCGGGCCCGGCCTACTTGCTCGCCGCCGCGTGCTTGGTCAGCGGGGGGACCGTGGTCGCGACGAGCAAGGCCGAGACCAAGGAGACCGTGAACATCGACGCCGCCGTCGGGGTCCGAGTGAGGTGCGACTCGATCCGCGACTCGGTCGACTCCGCGTTCTCGCCCCAGCAGTCCGCGAAGAGCCGCAAGTTCTGGCGGAATTCGGGGGAAGAAGCGACGCCCCTTGTGTAATTAGAGGTCCGGCGCGATCCCGCGGGGGAAGAAGCGACGCCCCTTGTGTAATTAGAGGTCCGGCGCGATCCCGCGGCGTTTCGCGTGGACGCGCGCGAGGCCGTACATGTAGTCGCCGGTCTGCGCGTACTCGTTGTTGCCGACGGCCCGCGAGATCCAGGACTTGGAGAGCGTCGGGTCGCCGGCGGCCTCGGCCAGGAGCCCGAGGTAGAGCGCCGCGTAGAAGCGGTCGCCCGCGGAGCCGGAGGCCGCGAGCTTCTCCACGGCCGCGCGGTCGTCGACGGCGCCGGAGCGGAACATCTTCTCGACCGCGCGCATGACGGGCCGCGGGTCCCGGCCCACGACGATCATATTGGTGCGGGCGGCGGAGAGCCCGTCGAGCTGCGCTTTCGAGAGCAGGTGCCAGATGCTCTCCTCCGTGTCGTTCGGATTCTCTCGGACGTCGATCAGGAACTGCTCCGCGGCCGCGTCGTACTTCTTCGCGTAGTAGTAGCTCAGCCCGCGCTGCCAGAGCCGCGTGCGGAACCGCGGGTCCTTCGCCTCCGCCGCGTCGAACAAGGTGATGGACTCCTCCACGTTGTTTTGCGTGAAGGCCGCCATGCCGCGGCGCGACAGCGTCGACGCGCTCGTGGAGGAGTCCATCACCTTGTTTTCGTCGGCGCGCGCGGCCAGCGGTGTTGTTATCGATGCCATGGTCACGAGAGCAGCGCGACGGGTCTGCGGCAGCAGTGCGCTCGCTGTTGCGGCCAGCGCGACGACGCGAGCCGCGGCGCGCAGCGGGCACATGCTCTCGCAGGCGTGGCAGCGGCGTCAACGTTGGCGCGGCTCGAGTGCTTGACGTAGCAGTGCCGCTTGGGCTGCCATGATGATGGCGACCTTCACTGCGCTTTGCATCCTCGGAAGCGCTCGCGCGCTCCAGCTCGGCGGCCCTTACACGCTGCACGCCTACGAGCATTGCCAGTTCTGCACGCGGACTCGCTTCGTCCTCGGCTGGGCGGGCGTGCCCTTTGAGACGCGTTTCTACGGCTACGGCGAGGGCGCCGACCCGGAGAAGTGCGGCGGCTTTGGTGCGTGACGATCTGGAGGAACCCGCGGCGCGCGACCGTCCTAGCGTCGCAGGCTACGATCCCGAAGCTGGCACGGTGCCGCTCACGGGCAAGAAGGCGTGCCCCGTGCTCGAGGGCGACGGCGTGCCGACGCTCGACGGCGCGCGCGGGCTCGCCGAGTCCATGGAGATCGTGTCCTACGCCGTCGGCGTCGGGAGCAAGGTCGCGCCCGCGACGAACCGCAAGGACGTGGCCGACTGGCTCGACCGCGTCGGCGACACGCGCAAGTGGCTCGAGCGGCCGCGTCTCATCACGATGCCCGTGCCCGACTTCGCGGACCCGCGCGACGTGGCGTACTCGCGGTGGACCCACGAGAAGCAGGGCTTCGACTACGACGTCGCTCTCGAAGAGACGCCGCGGCTGCTCGCGGAGCTGAAGCCGCTGCTCGAGGAGCTCGAGACGATGCTCCGGGGCCGCGAACCGTTGAGCCTCAACGCGTGGGGGTACAGCGTCGACGACGCGATCTTACTGCCGATTTTGCGCGCGATGACCGTGACGAAGGCCGTCGAGTGGCCGCCCCGTGTCCGCGAGTACCTCGATACGGCGTGCGAGGCCGCGAACGTCGATACTTTTGCAAAGTACGCGTGCTGATCTTTCGCGACAATGCAAAAGTATCCTGATCTTTCGCGACAATGCAAAAGTATCCTGATCTTCCGCTCCGCGCGTCGTCGTCCGTCGATCATCGTTCGAATCGCCTTCGTCTAAGCCTCTTTAAGCTCCTGCAACGCGGCTCGCGTCCAGGAGCGGAGCGCGTCGGCGCGCATCGCGTACCTCGCGAGGTGGCTCGGGAACCCGTTCCTCGCGGTCCCCGCGATGCCTTGCACGTTCGTGTGCATGTAAAAGTACACGACGCCGTCGTGGAGCCAGAGGCCGTCGACGGGCTGGTCCAGAGCCCTGGACCCGTAAAAGCTCTCCGTCTCGATAATCGGAGAAGGAGCCGTGAAGCGCACGCCGTCCAAGGACGCGGACAGCGCCACGAAACTGCCTTCCTCGTTCACAAGCGTGTAGAGGGCGAGCAACGACGCGGGCACGACCGGGTTCGCGTTGACGGCGAAGAGGTAGATGCTCGTGACCGCCGGATCGTAATCGTCTCCGTCGAACGTGACGAGCTCGAACGGGCGCCACGCGACAGAACCACTGTCCTTGAGCATGGATTCCAGCGGTCTTCGCTCCGCCCGCGCGGCCTGAACCTGCCGCCCGCCGCCGCGCGCGTTGAGATTCGCGCGAGCGTAGATCACGATCGTGCCGTTCAGCTCCGCGACGCTGAACTTCGAGTCGAAGCGGCATGTCTCGAAGTAGCGCTCGACGCATCCAGTGGCGTCGAACGGATGCACGGCGCGCCAGCCGCGCGAAGCGACTCCAGGCTCGGCGCGTGCAGCAACGTCGCGCCGACCTTTCCCGTCGCGACGTCGCCCGCTTCGCCGCCGACGCCGAAGACGCCGCCATCGGCGCCGCGCCACATGACGAGGTTGCGCGCGGTGTTCTCGCTCTCCGGTCCCGGCACCAGCTGCTTGCCGCGATGGACGCACTCCAGCGACGCGTCGCAGCCCGGGAAGATCTCGGAGAAGACCTTGGCCGTCGCGCCGCGGTTCGCGCCGTTGCGCGCGACCAAGAACGGCTCGGCGTCGGTGACCAGCGTGAAGTACCGCGCGTAGCGCAAGCGCGGAGCGGTCAAGTTTGCGACGACCGTGGTCATGCTTCGGTGCAAGAGCCGCGGCGCGCGGACCCACGAAGGCGACGCGATGCGCGGCTTGTCGATGCGCGCCGGCGGCTCCCAGTCCTTGTGCACGGCGCAAACGATTGCCACCAGCAGCAACGCGCGGCGCAGCATCGTGGGCAGCCCAATTCATGAGCCGGCCATCGTCGAGTGTGCTGGAGTTGAACAGCAACAAAGCTGCTTGTCAGGCGCGAGCTGCTTCAGCCAATGGGCTGTCAAGCTTTGATGAACATGCTACGACGGCTGATTGTCGCTGCATGGACTGCTTCGCGCTGCGGCTCCGAGCCGAGCTTCACCGTGACGCTCGGCGACGGCTCGAACGCGCTGCTGCAGCTGGGCTGGTTCGTGACTGACCGCGAGACGACGCAGTCGTTCTGCGACAAGCACGGCGTCAGCAGCGCGGATTGCGACGTGTTGCGTGCGCATGCTTCGCGGCTGCGTGGGCCCGACCGGTTCTTTACCGCGTTCACAGAGGAGAACACGGACGAGCCGGCCGCGGGCAGACGATTCGCGTTCGTTGACGGTGAGCTGATGTTCAGGTCGACGGGCACGAGCAACCCAGGGCGCAACTACCCCGGGTTCTTTTTGCCGACCGCCGGCATCTGCCCGTATTGGTTCCAAATCGGTGAGCACGGCGCGCGGAGCTACTCGGACGAGTTCTTCGCTCCGGATGACCTGGACGAGCGCCGGCGGCGCGCGCTGCGGTCTACATCGGTCCAGCATGTCTTCGACAAGCGCTACTCGACCAAATACGACGTGCCAACGCCAGGCACGCCGGACCGCGAGACGTGGGTCGCCATCGCGCAGTCGTTGATGCCGCTCGTGAACCGGTCCGCGGCACGGGTCTCGCGCGGCGTCTTTGAATCGATGACTCTTGATCGCGGCTCGTAGGTCACGGCCCCAGTCGACGCCGACGCGGGACATTTCGTGTTCTACCGCTTCTCGTCGCTCCGGCAGTTGGTGGTCTCAATCCGTCTCGGTCGTCGGGCATGGCTCAGCGCGGGCTACAGCTCCGCGGTGGATGCGATCGAGCGCATGGCTGCTGCGGCGGGTCTCATGGTCTCAGACGTCGATCCGGATGCTTTCAATTCCGTGCCCGCGCTGAAAGGCCAGTGCGCGGTCAACGATTTCATCGTCGACGAGCTCGAATTCGATGTTTTGGGCTGGCGCGACGTGCGTGACGCCGCTTGTGGGAGAGATCGTGATTTTCTTGGGGTTGAAGTGGAAGCTCTGCTTTCGGAGGCGCGTCTTGCTGCCGACGCAATCGCCGGGCGCAGCGACTGTACGAACGTCCAAATCGGCGAGTGCTCCGAGTCGTGCTGCGCTTCGAAGCTTCTGGACATGTCCTACTGGGAGACCGTGGCGCGGCAGTCGCGGTCCAAGGTGCTCATCGACGTTGCGGATCATCTCGACGTGGTGGCCGCGGCGCTGCCGGAGTCGCAGCGTCATCAAATCCTCGAGCCGCGCCGCCTTCGATCCCTGCCTGAGATGCCGCGGTTGATCTACGGCACCGCGTGGAAGAAGGAGCGGACTGAGGAGCTGGTCAGAGCCGCGGCGAGCGCTGGATTTGTTGGCTTCGACACGGCGAACCAGCCGAAGCACTACGCGGAGTCGCTCGTCGGCGATGCTCTCCGAGGTCTTCCTCGCGGACAGTTCTTCCTACAGTCTGTTGGGCAGCGTCGGCTTTGCTATTTCTGGGTTCATTTGTTCCTTCGTAGGACGAAGTTCACGCCACTCGGCGGCCACGACGAACGAATCCCATACACTACGAACGTGACGATCTCGGAGATGGTTCGCCAGAGCGTCGCGGGATCACTGATCAATCTGAGGACGGACTACTTGGACTCGCTACTGATGCACTCGCCCTTCGAGGATCTCGAAAGCACATTCCTGGCCTGGAGAGCATTCGAAGATGAGCATGATCGTGGGAGGGCCTTGCGACTTGGGATCTCGAACGTGGACTTCGAAACGTTCCAGAACGTTTACGCAGTTGCTCGTGTGAAGCCCACGGTGGTTCAGAATCGATTTTATGCGAGAACTGGCTACGATCGTGGGCTTCGAGCTTTCTGCGCTGAGCATGGGGTTGAGTACCAGGGTTTCTGGACGCTCACGGCGAACAAGGACATCGTCAACGGAGACGTTGTGCGTGGGATTGCACAGCGTCTGGGCAGGCCTGTCGTGTCTGTGTTCTACGCGGCTCTGAAGCAGCTTGGGGTCGTCGTTCTCGATGGGACGAAAGATGAGGGGCACATGGCAGATGACTCGGAGTTGCTGCGGCTGGACGAGGCCGACGTGGCTGCTGTGGATGCTGTTTTAGTGTAGCAGCGGTCTAGGAGTGCCGACTAGGAGCCTTGCTGCTGTTCTGCGCCGCGCAGTAGGGACGACGCGAAAAGGCCGTGTGTTTTCGTGCCACGGTGCTGTCGCGAGAGTAAACATGTTGTTTTTGAACATTCAACAATCGGACGGCATTCCGGGCGCATGTGCCGGAGCTGCGTTGTTCCAAGCAGCCCGTGACAGCCGCCCGTGACAGCCGCATGGGCGCCGCCGCCACGACGGCGAAGCAGCCCCTGGCGTAGGTCGACATCAAGAACGAGATCGGCGTGCTCTACGGCGAAGAGGCGCAGCAGGCCTTCGCCGCGGCCAAGGATGACGACGTCGTCGCGTGGCCGAAGGTCCAGGCCTACGCCGAGGCGCACGGCCTCCTCGACCCCAAGGCCGTGCTGTTCAAGAACCTGAGGCAGTTCAAGATCGCCCGCGAGCAGATCGAGGCCATCTACGACGAGCACTTCACGGGCGCGGTGCGCGACATCCCGTGGCGCGGCAAAGACCTTGGCGACGACCGGCGCCAGTGCGCGCTGCACGGCGCGCCCGCGAAGACGCTCGACGAGCTGTACGCGGTCGCGGAGAAGGCGTTCATAAGCTTCGCCGTGGCCCTCACCGCCGCGTGCCCGGACGGCGCGGTCGTGAAGCTCGCGCCGCTCAAGGGGCTCGCGCGCGCCGCGGCCAAGGCGCGGAACGAGTACGCGAAGAATACGGCGCCGGCGACATCGTGGCTCTTCGACGTCGTGCGCGGCTCGGTCATGTGCGCGACCGAGGACGAGATCGTGCGGTTGTACGCGGCGCTCGACAAGGACCCGCGCGTCGACGTCGTGCGGACGAAGAACCGGTTCAACCCGCCCTGCTTCAACGGGTTCGTGTTCCTTTCGTCGAATTGCGCGCGAGTCCGTCGTCGTAGGTACCGCGACATTCTCATGAACGTGGCGGTGCGCGTCCAGGGCGAGGCGCGCGAGATCGTGCATCTCTGCGAGCTCCAGATCCACCACGCGCCGATCAAGCAGTCGGAGCCCATGCACAAGAGCCACGTGACCTACGAGTTCTTCCGGGAGTACTTCCTCGGCAACGCGGACGCCGTCGAGCGGCGCCTGAACATGCTCTGCGCGCTGCCCGTCGACGACGCGGAAAACGTCGACGACCTCGTGGGCCGCGTCCTCGGGTCCGACCGCGCGAAGAACAAGACGCTGCTCTTGGAGCTGGCGAAGCTGCTCGAGTCCATCGCGGAGCACGCGAGCGCGGTGCGCGTCCGGGAGAAGGTTCTGGAGATCATGGAGCGCAAGTACGGGTCCGATCACCACAAGGTGGCCGGGACGCTGCGCGACCTCGGGTTCGCATACGGCTCCCTCGGCGACGCGGCGAAGAAGCGCGACTTCCTCGTGCGCGCGCTCGCGATCTTCGAGCGCGAGTACGGCTGCGACCACGCCAAGGTGGCCTACACGCTGACGGATCTCGGGGACGCGTACCGCGTCCTCGGTGACAATGCGAAGTCGCGCGACGTCCTCGAGCGCGGGCTCGTGATCGAGGAGCGCGAGTACGGCCGCGACCACGTGAAGGTGGTCGTCACGCTGGAGTGCCTCGGGAACGCGCACGGCGCCCTCGGCAACAAGGCAAAGGCGCGCGACTTCCTCGAGCGCGCGCTCGCGATCAAGGAGCGCGAGTATGGCCGCGACCACGCGTTGGTGGCCAGCGCGCTGACGAACCTCGGGATCGTGCACGGCTCCCTCGGCAACTACGCCAAGCAGCGCGATCTCTCCGAGCGCGCACTCGTGATCTTCGAGCGCGAGTACGGCCGCGACCACCCCAATGTGGCCAGCGCGCTGGCGAACCTCGGGAGCGCGCACGGCTCCCTCGGCGACGACGCCAAGAAGCGCGACCTCTTCCAGCGCGCGCTCGCGATCGACGAGCGCGTGTTTGGGAGCGAACACACCGCGGTAGCCGCTACGCTGGGAGGTCTCGGGAACGCGTTCTTCAGCCTTGGCGACTACGCCAAGGCGCGCGAGCTCTACGAGCGCGCGCTCGCGATCAAGGAGCGCGAGTACGGCCGCGACCACGTGCAGGTGGCCAGCACGCTGACGAACCTCGGGCTCGCGTTCTTCAGCCTCGGCGACTACGCCAAGGCGCGCGAGCTCTACGAGCGCGCGCTCGCGATCAAGGAGCGCGAGTACGGCCGCGACCACGTGCAGGTGGCCAGCACGCTGACGAACCTCGGGATCGCGCACGGCGACCTCGGCGACTACGCCAAGAAGCGCGAGCTCCTCGAGCGCGCGCTCGCGATCGAGGAGCGCGAGTACGGCCGCGACCACGTGCAGGTGGCCATCACGCTGGGGAACCTCGGGAACGCGTTCTTCAGCCTCGGCGACTACGCCAAGGCGCGCGAGCTCTACGAGCGCGCGCTCGCGATCAAGGAGCGCGAGTACGGCCGCGACCACGTGCAGGTGGCCAGCACGCTGACGAACCTCGGGCTCGCGCACGGCGACCTCGGCGACTACGCCAAGGCGCGCGAGCTCTACGAGCGCGCGCTCGCGATCGAGGAGCGCGAGTACGGCCGCGACCACGTGCAGGTGGCCAGCACGCTGAACAACCTCGGGCTCGCGCACGGCGACCTCGGCGAGGCGGCCAAGGCGTGCGACCTCTACAAGCGTGCGCTCGCGATCAAGGAGCGCGAGTACGGCCGCGACCACGCGAGCGTGGCCCTCACGTTGACGAACCTCGGGAAAGCATGCAACGCGCTCGGCGACTCGACCAAGGCACGCGATCTCTCCGAGCGCGCACTCGCCATCTTCGAGCTCGGCAGCGAACACGCCAGAGTAGCCATCACGCTGGACAACCTCGGGAGCGCGTACATCGCCCTCGGTGACGCGGCCAAGGCGCGAGGCCTCCTCGAACGCGCGCTCGTGATCAACGAGCGCGAGTACGGCCAAGACCACGTGAAATTGGCCGAAACGCTGATGAACCTCGGTGTCGCGCACGGCGAGCTCGGCGACGCGACGAAGAAGCGTGGCTTCCTCGAGCGTGCGCTCGCAATTTTCGAGCGCGAGTTTGGCGGCGACCACCGGCATGCTTTGTCTTGCCGAAGGAACCTCGGGCGTTGAGAAAGCGCAGTAAGTGTGCTAAGGGAATTTGTGGACTAATGCAAGGAACGGTATCTTCGAGCCGCGCGGTTTTGTCTAGGCTTCGTGCCCCAAGGCTTCGAGTCCCGAGGCTTCGTGTCCCGAGGCTTCGTGCCCAGGGGCCTCGTGTGCGGCAGATTTCGGCGTAGCCGCCGCGGCGACGCACCTTTTCAAGTCTTTTGTTCTCACTTGCGAGGGCAAAAGCGACGACGCCGAGTCCCCTGGACTCAGGCCTAAAGAGCGTTGCGCGAGCAGATTTTTCGGCAAAACTAACCTTAAAACGAACATATTTTGGTGTTTTTTTCGGGCGTAACCATCGGCCGACGCCGTTCGCCGCGCCGTCAAGCAACGAGGGTTGTGAGTTTACGCCAAAAGCGTCCGTTAGGGTTATGGTTAGGGTTATGGTTAGGGTTATGGTTAGGGTTATGGTTAGGGTTATGGTTAGGGTTATGGTTAGGGTTATGGTTAGGGTTATGGTTAGGGTTATGGTTATGGTTAGGGTTAGGGTTAGGGTCAGGGTTCGGGTTTAGGGTAGCCGGACGGCGGCGGGCGCTGGCCGGCGCCCATC